GAATGCCGAATCGTTGTCGCAACGACATGTTCATGGTATCCGGACTGACGGAGCCATCGTGATGACTCTCCGCTTCCTCTTCCGCTTCTCTCTTCTCCCGTTGGAATCTTAATCGTTTGGCAATCATGTCGCTTCTATCGAAGAAGATGAACTTTACGACCAACGCCAGTAGCAAAATTAATATCACGACATACTCCGCGCTGGGAATCAGCCAACTCATCAGGGATTCCTCTACTCCGAAGCTTTTGTTATGATCGGAACTGTTTAACATTGCCTTTTCTGTGGATATCGTCGTTATTTTCGGCGCGTACTCGTTTTTTTCACCCTTGAAAGACCAGCGGCTGCAACGGAGGATAGCAATGAGATATAAATTAATACATAATTCAATTCAAATAATTATATATACATATAATGTATATACAAAATTGTGCGATCATGTCACTTAATGCATAGTTATGAACATGCATAAGTTTGCCATTATATTCCAGTTATTTTTGTCCATGCAATATAAAAATTGTAAATGTAATTTTAACGAAATGACAATTGCAGTTATATAAACTGTAATATTGTGAATATTTATAATTAAAATCATTAAAATTCTGCTATAAAGACTATGTTTTACATACACGATTTGTAATTACATCACATTGCTTTACATTAATTACATTATAATTAATTATAATCAATTCTGTTTTTTTATTGAAACAAACACGAAACGATTGCGACAATATCTTTTCTTAAACTAAAATATTAACTCGACGAGTAATAAACGGACAAAGAAACGTAAAGTATTCTGCATTCATTGCCTCTTCTCCATAGTGCCACTTATTTTTGGATTCTCATTTTACTTTGTATAGACGACTATCGATCTTTTGTACATGCTTTTTATTATTAACGTTCATGCAATATTAAAATGCGTAAACACATTATCATTCATAAGAACTTTGTATAAAAAAAACGTAGCACTTAATATAATATTTCAAAACACGAATTGTACAGTTGTATAAAATATTGTCGTACCACAACAAAGAGTATCGTAATTATTATATAAAAATGAAATTTTGCAGAAGACTTATTTTTTTTCTTGTACAAAAAAAGTAGAATCGCGGCATATCAGAATTATATCCGAATTAATACACACGAGAATATTTTATTTATTTAAAACGATTCTTGCAATTTTTATATTTACGATTTCGTCAACTTCAAATAAAGAATCAAACTGTCATAAAATCCTTTTTCCCAAGAAAACGATAAACAATAATTTTCAATGGTGGTGCTATCGATTTCGTTGTATCTCCATCACACAAACATTCATTTAAAAGTTAACGAGAAAACAGATGAAAGTATTTGTAACATTTCCGCGCGATAAGCGAGCTAGCTCACATCCCGTTCATATCACGATACCGACAACCCTTTGAAAACGTCCAAACTTCTTAGCGATAAGATCCATTCCACGAAAAGCTTCATTGAATATTGAGACTTTTCATTGAATA